TTCCTAACCCATGTTTTTTTCTTGCACCTCTAAACTTTTTCCTTTTTCTCATTTTATCCTATTCACAATAGCAAACTGGATAACATAAATCCTAGATAATCAACCAGTTCAAAAAGTTTAGGAGATTTGATAAGAATTATAATAAGAAATTCGGTTAATTTTTTTTAAGAATATATTTGTTGGACTTCAAAATTCGGTATACAACTAAACGAATTAGATTTTCAAATTCAATAAACACTAAGAAAAATTGGATTCAATAATCCGTTTAAAAAAATCGACAGTTAATTGGATTTCAAAACCGATAAGAAAAAAATTCACACATATAACTATTTCAAAATCTATAAAAAATTATACACAATCTTAGATTTCCTAATTGGATGAATAAAAAAATTAACACTTAATCAAATATAATAAACAAACAAATTAACCCTTAACCAGATTTTAAAATTATGTAAACAAAAATTATCCACACTTAACTGATTTTGGATATCCAATAAAAAATGGAAACCGGTGAACAATTGGCTCGAGAGCATCGTAGACTCGTAGTACATCAGGTGAACAGTGTCGTCTCTATTTAAATGTATTTTTCAACTAAATTCAAACAAACTTGTTTTATAATTTATGATAACTGTAGTTTTAGGTTAATTTAAATTGTTATAACTTTTTAATATCAATTGCGTTTATTTATTTAATGTATATTGCAATTATTTCTCATTTTAGTTAAGATTTTATATATAAAATTGGTAGAACATTTTTCTTTATTAATATTAACTAAAATTTCTTTATTTGTATTATTAAGATTATTTTTGTTATTATTATAAAATACTATCATTTTTACTTTATATCAATTAAAGTTTTCTTAAATAATGTCTGGAATATTATTCAAATGAGAACTAACATTTTTTTAAAAGTAGTTGAATTTTTTTATTATATTTTTTAAATAAACTTTAATTAAAAATAGGATCAATCATGTTTGATTAAAAAACATTATCAATATTAAGAAATAGTTTTAGATGAGATAAATATAAATTTAATTTATTTAAATATTTATAAAAATTGTGAAATTCCTCACAAGATGAGTAATTGTAATTATTAACGTAATTTTTATCTCTGGTTAAGTGATGGCTGTGAAATAGTCATATATATACCAATAACTCGTTTAAGTATAATTTTTGTATGGTTTTCGTACAAAGACTCAAATGATCCATCATGAATTTTATTTATTTTTTTCACTGGATTTCAATATCTAGGTGTCAATTTTTTTTTCACTAAATTTTAAAATCTGATTATGTATTATTTTTTTTACTGAATTTTTAAATTTAGTTATGTGTAATTATTTTAACTGAATTTTAAAATACGGTTATGTATATTTTTTTTATCAAATTTCAAGATATGTTAAGTGTTAACTTTTGTTGAGTATCAGATTGTGAAATTTGGTTTTTGTGAGTGTTCAAAAAAATTAACCATATTTATAATTCTAGTTCACCTCACATCTCCTGGATTTTTTTATCTTATTAGTTCTCTCATATTATTATCAGATGTTTTGTTATAAAGAGAATAAAATGAAATTAAAAAATAAAAAGTTTGGAGATTCAGAAAGAAAAATGTGGGGGTGTAGAAAGAAGCATCTAAAACTTATGTGTAGAAATAGTGTTGGGCTTTTTGAAGTGTGTACATCCGTCCGAATCCATGAAACCCTTTTCAGCTCAATGCCAAAAGGATGATGAGTGTTTGTTGCATCATGCAGTGCTAACAAAAACTGATTAATGTTGATGGTGTAACACCTAGCTGTAGGTACATACAATATATTAATGCAACAGCACTCACCAAAGCGTTTACAAAATTACGAATATTTAAAAAAAAAGTATTAACACAGCATATATACTTTCATTAAAAAAGAATAACAATATAAATTAGTATTTCTATTATCTTTCGTTCAACTATTGGGTATGCATAAATATATCGTCTCATACCTCTCAGAACAATTAAACAAATATACCACCTACAATCATAACAATTTAAAAATTATTTAATTAAATTTATATGTACATTAATTTTTAAACCAGATATATGGAATTATGTATTTTTAAATAACTTAAATGCTTTGTTAATTTCTTCAGTTTAATTAATATAAAGAAGTGTACACCAATAGTTGCTTGCATGTTATAGATTAACTGTCATAGATTAATATAGAGAATTGTATACCAATGATTGTTATTATTCTTATTATTGTTAAATATAATTTTTTTCTAATAATTATTTATAATGAATTTTGAAATTTTGATGACATTATAGTTAAAGGTTTAATCTCGGGGTGAAAAAAATTATTCATGATAAAAAAGTTGTATCTTATTATCTTAATAATAATAAAACTCATTTATCTCAACTTGTAAAAGTAATTCAAATCTTTCTAATAGAGAATGAAATATAATATATTGATGAAATTATAAAGGGAATGTGTATATATATTGTTTTACTTTAATATATAGATTATTTTGCATGTCTCTTTTCACTTTCTTATCTCTTTTATCCTGTACATAATAAAATTGGAAATATCAATTTAAATAGAGAAATATGATCACCAACCTTTAACTTTTGCTTCAAAAGTTTTAATTATTTTTGAAAGACTAATAGTGGTCACTTTTTGTTTAGCATCTACGATTCACCTATAAATCATTTAATTAATATGTTTTCATCATTATCGATACAAATGTATTAACACAGATAAACATGTTTCAATATAAACTAAGACATGATTTATAAAAAGACATCAATGATAAAAATCGATTAGTAAAGATCAATAGTATATCAATAATGAATAATAATACTTTGAAAACATTTTTTTACAACATTTTAACGTCATCTACGTGTTATTATGTGATTGGTCAAAAATTACTCCACAATCAATAATAATAATCATAAACACCAGCATAAACCAATCAGAGAATGACATGTAGATGGTGTTAAAATGTTGTCAAAAAAATGTTATCAAATATCATTATCCATCAATAATTGCTTACATGTGATGATACAATAATATTTTTTAGTTTCTCAAAACATAAAGTTTTATTTGAGTAATTAATTAAAAAAAGGAAAATATCTTATTTTATTATTTTATAAGTACAGTGTTTAAAAGTACTTATCATCATATTTTTCAAACCCTCTTTGTGCTTTAGTGATATACTTTTTATGTTATCCACAACAAAAACTGAAAACACAAGGTACACGGTTTCGTATTTGTATATTTTACATGTTTCATTATTAAGTATATGTATATTTTACATGTTTCATATTAATCTATCAACAATAAATATATATATATATATATATATATATATATATATATATATATATATATAAATAACTCAGTATTTACCGTTACCACTTTCACTTAAACTACAATACAAACTTTGGATTGAATGCAATTTATTATTTTTCACATTTAACTCATTATTATATTAAATAAATGTTAATATTAACTCTCTGGTTATAGGAGATAGAATACCTACTTTCCAACTCTTATTATTCTTAGGTGGAACTTAACCAAAGTAGATTGAGAGTTAGAGGACTTCCTCTTCTTGCATAATTGTCTCTCTTGATGATTATTTAGGTTTGTATTCAACAAATCCTGGAATTTGTTTTGCATAGAATTGTCTTGACAATAAGTTAATCTATGTAAAAAAAAACATGTTTTTTCTCATTTGAAGACATTAAACTTTTCCTAGATGATAGTTAATGTAGATGCTTGAATTTAAAGATTTGAAATTTGGTATTTCATCCATTGTTTAAGTCAACTTAAATTATTAACTGTCTACCTTAGAGAGAATAAATAAACTGGTGTACACGTGACATGCAATTTTATCATTGTACTGTAATTTTATTTACCTGCTCGATGCTCTAATTTTTTAAATCTTACATGAGAATATATATATATATATATATATATATATATATATAATATTTTAAAATAATTTAAACTCAATTAATTATTTGATTAATTAATACATATAGTATAGAAAATATAAAAAAAATCTTATTTTTAATGTTATAATTATACCATTCTATTATTTTATAACAAATTTTGTCTTCAATATAAAATACATTACTCAAATACTACTTGAGAAAGGGAAAAAGAATCAATATTTTAAAATATATTTTAATTTGAGTACTATATATTCTATCTAAAATTTTAGTTATATATAGTATAACATTATAGGATGCACTATATAAAATAAAATTTTGCTTTATATATCTAAATTTTATAATAATAAATAATTAAAATAACAAGATTACATTACAATTTAAAAGAGTAGTATATTTTTACCGTATAAATTATACTATAGAATTAAAATAAACAATTTACATGGTTATACAATGTTATTTTGGGAACATATTTTAAGTCATAACTAAAAAATTATTAAAATTATATTTCTTTTTTTATTTTATGATAATAAAAAACAAAAAAATATTTTTTCTGATTAATATTAAAATAAAAATATCATTTAAATTTATTAAAAATATATTTTTAGAAAAGAATTATAAAAAACAGTTAAATTTTTTTTTAAAAAAATAATTTATATTATAAAAATAAAATTGATAATAAAACGTGTAGACTGAAAAAAAGTTTAAAATAATAATATTTATTAATAATTATAGTAATAAAATGAAATAAATGAAACTGTAAAAGAAATCTAAAAACATTACAGTGGAAAAAATTAAAGAGATTTTCCTTTATGAAAAATGACCATTGAATAAATTAATTTTATATTTTTATCATATTTTTAATACAATGATACTCACTTCTATCATATTAAATAAAATTACAAAATTAAAATTAAAATATGGGAGAAAAATACAATTTCTCTTAAAAAGATTAATTTATTGTGAAAGCTAAAAATATTAGAATTAAAATGATATATTAAATTAAATTAATAATATAATCTTTATCTTATGTTGTGCATTTTAAATTTGGATATGCTAATGGGATTTGGAAAAAACTAAATTCTAACCCCACACGCCATCTGTTTAAAAAAAAAAAAAAAACGGAGTTCTCTTAAAAATTGACTCTTTTGTAGAAGGACAAAGGCTAGGGTTTGGTATTGAGCAAATTAGGGTTTGTAATTGGATCTCCATCAATCTCCACCGCGATAGTCTTAACGATAATCATTGTTCATTAGATCTGCGAACTCCATCGTCTCTCTCGTCATGACTGATGGCTCCTGGAATAGGCAGCAGCAACAGCCGCTTCTGCCTTCTACCGCAATGCTCAAACGACCTCGTACTGAATATGGTTATTTTCTTTTTCTCCTTCACTTTTCTGTTTAAAAATACAAAGTTAGGATTTGGAGTCACCCCTTTTAGTTATTTTGGCAACCGCTGTCATTGATTTAGGATTTGGTCAATTGTTTCATGGTCTCTATTGTTTTTAAATCTTTCTAATTCTTTTTTTGAGATGACAAAACAAGGTTGTGATGTTATTGAGTTTGGATGTGCATAAACTAAATTCATTAGACAAACATAAATGTGTGCGTTTTTGGGCTTTTAGGTATAATACCCTGAAAGAAGTGTTTTTATGATTTGAAGCTCTTGATGATTAAATTTTTATGGGGCCCAATTTGTGTCACGGGAGGAGTATCCTTGTGTATACTTTTAGGCTGAGAATTTCAAGTAGGTGGAACAAGTGACTTGTGATAGCATTCATGGAGTTCATCTATAAAATGATCCAAAATATATTATTTAATTAAATTACTTTCGTACTATTTTCTGTGTTGATTATTGCAACCTGCCTATATTTATGAAAATTCTTTTGGTACCGTGTGTTTTGTAGCCTTATGGTAATAGTCAGGATCATATGATCCTAGGTGTCTCTGGCCATTTCCAAAACCCATTCAACATAAACTGTGAAGAAAGGACCATTACTGGAATTACTTGTAAACTTGTGGGATGCAGGAGTGTTTTTTGGTCCAGATCATAGTGTTGTTTTTAAACATAATTTCTACTGTCTTGATAATCTGCTTATACTTTGACTTTTTAAACCAATACGACCTTCCCTTTCAAAGCTCAGCATCCCCTTTTGAATGTATTCTCAATTTTTTAACTTCTAATCCATCTTCATGATTTCTTTTTGTGTTGTGTTTGAAAATTCTATTGGCTGATGTCAATGTACCTAGCTTGTTTGAGCTTTCTAGTTTTCTTTTCTTTGAATTATGATTTTATGTTTGTCTTGTTCACATTTGGTTTCTTACTCAAACATAACATCTTAGCATGCTCTGTGTGAACATTGCATTTTGCTATCGTTTCATCATTGTTTTCGTCATCATGATGTGAAGCCTTTGTACAACATTGAGCTGTAATATTCTGTATATGTTATAATAAATAAGAAGCTTTGAAGGAATTATATCTTGATGATTATTTTGTTTGTAGTAAATGACAATCTATACACAGAAAGTGTGCTAAGTACTCACTCTGAGTATTCATTCTAGAAGAGTATGACTTTTATTGTTACTATTGGGATGATTCATTTGCTAACGTATTTATCAATGTGTCATGTGTAAGGAGATTCATATACAAGAACTCGAGGGATTGATGTAATAATGATTTGTGCATGCAATTTTGCTGACTTGTATATTCCTTTTGTCTACAATCAAAATCTCTTCTGTTGGAACTTGTAATTCTTTCCTTTTGCCATTTTCATAAATTTGTAATATTTCATAAGGAGCATTACTATGGAACTCAGCCCCCTACCTGTTATATTTCACATGCTAGACATGGTGAAATATACATGTTTCACTCTCCTTCTTTGAAGAAGTCAATACAACAGGTCATAATGCAGGACAGTTAGAAGCCTCTTTTCTCTGTTGCATCTTCCATCTCTGAAGGATCCTTACTTCCATTGTTGGGTTTTGACTTTTGGGTCTTTCTACTGTTGACCCATTAGTGAGCATTCTGAGTAAAGAGTGATTGCTGTTTATTTTGCAGCCTTTACATTTTTTACTCTGTATATTAAGTTTATAGCAGAAAAACATAATTGAAAAATATAAACTGTAATGAGACTTGAGGAAAAGGGAAAAATCCTGTTTTGTCTGTGTCTAATATGTGTTATTTTGTAGTACAAGAGGAAGTGATTTACATGTTATGAAATTGATAGTGCTCATTTGAATCAAGAATGCCTTCAGAATTGGACAAAAGAAGTGAGATGGAAGGATGGAAGTCAAAATAAGCAGAGTTGTCCCTTACTTGTCCATTGCGTATCGAAATCTTATCTATGCCTGATAAGACTAGTTTTTGAATAAATTCTGCAGATCCTGTAGTTAGATGGTGAGTGACTTGATTCTGGAAACTATATTTGAATGGAAAATCTTTCCAGTTTGAAGGTGTAAGTGTGTACCTTTGTTAGGAAATGCTTGGAGTTGAATGGGTTGGAATGACTTTATACTGTTGGATTTGTTATTTAGTGTAAACAGGATTTGAAGTGCTCCAAAAGGTGGTGCCCCATGGAAACCAAGAGTAGGTGAGTTGTACTTTTGTTTTGAGCCAAAGTGTATCCCAATGGTGGGCACTGCAGTACGGAGTAGTTTGTATTGGTTGGGTGAAAGTAAATAAGTTAGTTTTTTGAACAATTTATTATCAAATTAGTGATAGCCAATTGTGGCATCATGACCAGACTTAATTTACAAGAAATGGAGCATCAACAATCTGCATGACCTTCACGATCTCTGACACAGCCTAATGAAGTACAGCTTCCTCTAAAAAAATGAACCTTGGAAACTGTAAGAGGAACCCATAGGGCAGATTAAATCTAACTCTATTGACCACCATATCCAAGTGATGATGAGAACGTCTATGTTGATGTACAGGGGGAACATTTTGAAGATGAAGTGACAAGGCCTAGTCGTTCTGATTGATGAATGCTTGAAACTGCAGCACTCTCTCTTTGAAAAATTGAGCTAGATTTGAAAGAGTGCATTGCTGATGCTTATCACTTTGTGCTTCCCAAACAAGATGCTATGTGTCAATACTTGTATGGATTAGTTATGGTGTTTATTGAGGTAACAAGATCAAAGTGGATCATTGTGGATAGATCAAGGAATTAATGATGGATTTAATCAAGACAGATGCTCTGAAATTAATTGCTCATTTTCTTGTTTGAATCGAGATCTGAATTGACACACCTTAGCATAATTGCAAATAAATGTAATTTCTGAAAATTTTCAGATCTGCTAGGAATGTTTGCATGCATTGACTTTCTGGTCAGAAGAGATTCCTTTGGTGAAGTAGCCATGGAATAGTGCATTTGATCCTTTCAATCTTACTGCAAGCAAATCTAGCTTTCATGTCAGAGAGCACAATTTTCCTAACTTATATGGGAATTTTATGGTCATAGTAATACTTAGCCTGTGCTTACTGTTGCCTACGTAGGAAATTTCTTTCATCAAATTATGTTGAAATTGGGTGTGAGAATGAGACATGAGCAGGAGAGTGGGTTGAGTAGATGATCCACCGAGAGATGTTGTTCGATCTGAAGACTGGAAAGGGTTAAGTGGTAAAGCCATGGAGTGCAAATAGATCCAAGAAAAGCTTTCAATCCCATGACAAAAGTTAGTAGTGAGAGCTATAGAGATAGAGAGACAATGAAAGAGAATATGTACTAAATGAATTGGCTTCTGTTACAGGGAAGGAGACCAGAGATAACATGGTTGAGAGTGCATGCCAGTTAACTGCTTAGAGTTGTGAAAGTATTAGTGTGTTAGCAGTCTCCTGGAACTATAGTTTGAGTGGTGAAGCTAGTACAACTAGTCAAGTAACTTGGTGTGTAAGGGTCTGACTACAAATAGTTCGATAGGTGACAAAAAGCATGTTTGTGTGTGCACTCTGTTCTTTGTATTATTATGAGCACTAAATATGGGTCATGTGTTGTTTAGTTACCTGTGTTTTGCCAGCATCTGGCGTATTTGCTACTAGATGTTTTTTGTACTGTTAGTGGTTATCATTGGAGGGATGGCTATGGTATACAACATTGCATATGATCAAAAGTTCTCTAATTCAGTGTATTCAGCTTCTGTTTGTTTTACTAGAGTTATAAAGGCTAGATTCTTTTACATTGCAGATATGTCACCTTCTGGTCTGACTTCGGGAGGCAATGAGATGCATAATTATATTGCTCGAAATGATGACCATACTGGTCACCGAATGCTAAAGGACACTAAAACACTTGGATCTGCATATGACCGCTACCTTCAAAGTGCAGGGGTATGTTAGCCTGTTTTATTTACATAATATGTGATGATGTGCTTTCACAGTTTGTTTGACTAAAACTTCTTTTTGGTTGATAAAAGCAGCTTACTTCGTTTAATTCTGGGGAAGCCAGCGCAATTGGTGGTGTTGGATTGGCAAGGGGTGTTGGTGGATTGCCAGGCCATTCGCTAACTGATCCTGCTGTTATGGGGCATCCTGGTGGTGGTCATGATCTTGCACGAAATGGACGGAATGTCAATTATGGTGGTCAGTTACCAGTAGACACAGCTTCCATGCCTGGACCAGAGACTGTACCTCTACCGCCAGATGCATCCAGCACTTTATATGTTGAAGGTCTCCCATCTGATAGCACGAGAAGGGAAGTGGCCCGTATCCTTTTTGCCTCCCATAATGTTTTGTAATTGTATTATCATACTGTCAACTGACTTGTAAGCTTCCTTTTTCTATTATGCTTTTCAAATTCCTTAACGCCATTTTAAGATATTTTTCGTCCTTTTGTTGGATATAGAGAAGTAAGGCTTGTGAGCAAAGAATCCAAACATGTAAGTTGTCTGTTTGCCATCTAATATTTTGTATCTCGTTGTTCTACTGATTGAATGAAATATCCATATCCTTTATGCTGAAATGCATGCTTCTTGCAGCGTGGAGGAGATCCTCTAATCCTTTGTTTTGTGGATTTTGCAAATCCGGCTTGTGCAGCAACTGCTCTGAGTGCATTGCAAGGTATCACTTCTTGTTACCTGCTGAGATAAAATGAAATTAATTTTATGTTTGATTATCGAGTCATCGTACAGTAAATCATGTCCTCATAAAGGGGGACTTGATGGAGGTTGTGAAAATTGTAGAATTACCTTGTAATTTGGCCTTCTGAACCAATGTGTGGCTATTATGTTCCTGAATTATGTGTCAGTGTTTGGGAACTCGTTGAAAAGGGAGGAATGACATTTAGAATTTGGAAGCTGTAACCATGAGCTTCTGAAAATAGCGTAAAGAATGCAAAAAGTCACATTTGAAAATGTAACCAAATAAACTTAATGTTTTGTTATAAAATTTTGAATTGTAACGGGGTAAAACATTTTAAAGTTGCACTAAATTTATCAATAAAATTCCATACGAACAAGTGTTAGAGTATGATGTGCTTATCTATTATGATATTACTGTATACTGTATTTAACTAAAAGGATTTAAAATGGGAAATTGGTGAATCATTGTTAGATTCAATATCTTTATGAAAGTTATCTGTGACTTGGGGGTTTATTCAAACTGGTTACTTCATAGAACTGAAGTAGTGAACACGTTATAAATGATTTCCAACTTCCATGTTCCCATTTGTTATCTTCTTTCATTCCCAAAGTTCATAAAATGAACGCATACGGAGATATCTATTAATATTTTTTTTTCATGTTGTTATCATCACTTTGGAAATTGCAATCACCCATCTCGTGTGTCTAACTTTAAAATGAAGATATCATTTTTTTTATGACACGTAAAGTTCCAATGTTCTGCCACATAGTCAGCTGCTGTTCCTGTGATCAGCATACTTGTGTACAAAAGTTTAATAACGTTTTTTGCATTATTGTCATTAAGTTCTCCAATTAAAATGGTGACAAGTTGAACTATTAAAAATTCTTCCACACAATTTATGGAAGTCGGTCATTAATAGAAAGGAGAATCTGATGGTAAATAAAAATTAGTGTAGAAACTTGATCTGAGATTAAGTTATGTCTTCAAGCTAGTGGCCTTGTTCCTTGTGATCTCAGTGAGCCAGTATTGTAGGATTTGAACTCAGTATTCAATGATATTATGTTCCCAAATTTCAGTGTTTGCTGACATTGTGGTCTGATGACACAGGTTATAAAGTTGATGAACTCAATCCTGAGTCTAGCCACTTGCGGCTTCAGTTTTCTCGGTTTCCCGGTCCCAGATCCGGACCTGGACCTCGTGGCAAGAGGTGATGAGTTGGTTCACTCAGGTTTTATGCTGGTTATAATGTGCTACTTTTCTTTATCCCATACTACTGTTCTGAGGTGAGAATGTTCAGAATTGATGTTCACCTGCATATTTAATCTCTCCCTCTTGGCTACAATCCTGATTAATTGAGCTCCCTAGGTGCACATAGTATTTTAACTGGCTGAGATCAAATTACAATTGCATTTTGAGCAAATCTAACATGGAGATTTTTGGGATGGGCCTAGTCAATTTACTGTGTTGTATAAATATTGATAATTTTAGTTTGAACCTGATTAGCTATTTTACTTTTTTTTTTTCAAATAAAGGTTTTTATTTTAATATTATCTTGCTATGATGGTCGTGTTTGTAAAAACTGTTATTAGCTTCAGGCGTATGGGGCCAAGGCTCTAATTCAGAAGACTGGGAATGTGATAGCTACTTGGATTATCTTGAAATGGATTGTATTTCCACTTCCACAGCCCTCACCTTTCATTGATTAGGTAGATGTAGCAAGAGTTTAATTATATGCTGTTAAATAAAGTTATCTATATTATCACTCAATTAGAAATCGTTATTGATATCTTTTAAGATATTTATGAAAAACTAAAGAAGCTTATTTTAAATAGTAGTATGTAATGTGGAAACAACTGCTCCAAATTTCTGATTTATTAAGTTCGAATTGTAGTTTGGTTAAAATATTTTTATAAATAGAAAGTACCATTGTGCTATTATTAATGACTTTTTTTTTATGAAACTATTGTTCTGAAGGGTTATTTACTTAAAAGAAATCCTTTGATACACATAAAGGCAAAAGAAACCATGGCTATGAATGTGTAGATAATTAGCCATATAATTTGTTTTGTGCTTGCATATAATCTGTTATATATCTTCTGGCACACACGTGATGCTAAAAGTTATTCATCCCTTGATGGCATTCTGTAAATTTTTTACAAGAAATTCCCGTATGATAAGATTTTGCATTCTATGATGTGATTTTATTGGTTTATTTATTATTTCACATGTTTTCCGTTTCATTGCTCCTATTGAAATATTGTAAGATTTTTATAATAATAATAATATAATTAAATTATACTGGAATTGTCATTTTTAAAGGTGTGTATAGCACTAAATTTTATGTATGACAATGGAATATTAAATATTTGTTGACACAATTTTTACTATATATGATTTAAATGGTAATAGTATTTAATTCACCTGTTATTTTTATTAAATAAGCATTTGGTGTTAAGATATTGAATTGGTTAAGACTAATATATACTGGTATAAATTATTAAATTTATTTATTTTAATATATCGTTGTTTTATATTTTTTCACCCATATAACTTATTTAAGAGTTATTGCAACAGTAATTTCTTATTAGGAATGAGATATTTAGTGTAAATATAAGAACATTTTACATATACTACAACTTTTATGCATTTATAAGAAATACTTCATTTTTTGATATTGCAACAATATAAATATAACTAATTTTTTTTCTTATGTTTTTCGTTAAGTATATAAATTATGTGTTGTCTCTTTCGATTTCTACATATAGAATGTATAAATCAGTGCACTCTTAACTTAAACGACGGCTAATAAAACATGATTTATTTTAACTGACTTGTAAACAATCAGTAGATTATAAACTTTAAATTATATGCGTTCTAATCTATAATTTGTAAATTTGAGCTAGCTTGTGAATTAGTTTTAGGAATATAAATTATATTTTAAAAATTTATTATATTAGTTTAAAATTATTTAATATATATTATACAAATTAAAATTAAAGTAATATATTTTAAAATATAATAAAAAATAAATAATTTGATTATTTACTATTATTATTTAATTTTAACAAAACATAGTTATTGATTGTTTATCAATTCATAAATATAATAATTAATTAACCATAGGTAATAACAATATGTTGAGACATTCTCAATTAGAGAAATATAACTAAAAGTTATTCCAAGATGACAAAGGAGGAACTATATAATAACAATTACATCCAAACAAACATAGACTATTACTAGTAGGCATGAGGTTCACATGCCTCTTTTGGTATAACTATAAAATTAAAATTGATTAAGTTATAAATTTTTCTTAATAAATTCTTTTTGGATGATCTCTCTCTTCTGATACGGCTAATAGATACAAATCATAGATTTTTCTTTTCTTCTTGTTCTTATTAACAGTGTAAATGAAATATAACTTCAAGATAATAAAACATAACATTGTTAATCACATTGAAATGTCAATTTCACAAAATAAATTTTATAATTTATTTAACATTATCTTTATATGATTTATTCAATTCTATTCCTATATCATTAAAATTTTCAATCAAATTCCTAAATTTTTAAATTAACATCAATTTGACTTCAAATTTTAATAATATGAAAATTCTAAATAAATTATATAAATATAAAGTAAAAATGATCTAATTTACCAAAAGCTTATATCTGTTTAGGTAACTTCACTTTGACCTATAAGTTTAAACAGTTTTGTATGTGTCGGCAGGTGGGGTCCACTTCTCCCCTTTCATCTACATACATATAAAAAAAGTTAAAGAAAATGAATATTTTAAAAGTAAAAGCAATTACTGCTCATGTCAGAAAATAAACAGGTTATTCACGTCATTTTGCTATCACTGTTTTTGTTTTCATTATCAGACTACCAAGTTTCAATCAAAGTTACCCAATAAATCATCAACTTTCAACATTAAGTTGCAGCATTTGTTTTTCAAACTTTTGAAAATTGAAATTTGATGGAATGATGTGTTCCAATCTTAAGCTAGTTACTATTAAAAGGATCACCAAATTTACTTCATAAATATATTTTACTTTAGTTTCTGAGTTACATTATTATTTTTAAACAACATAAAACTTGAGTATTAACGTGTTAATTAGAGAGAAAATAATAGTAGTGGTACTAGAAAGAACTGATTAAAAGTTTTGATTTTTATATTTAATAAAAGCAGTAGTGGTGGTTCATTCAGTCTCTATCATTCTTTGGCATCATTTGTGCAGTAGGTAGCTGACTTTTCTTCTCATTTTTCTAGAATAAGTATAATGTTAGGCTCTCTGCAAGTAATCAATAAAAAAACAAAGAAAAATCATCATTCCTGATTAGTCTCTCTGCTAATGTCTACAGAGTTCAGAATGTAGTGTTTCCTCATTAGCCTGAGGAAATTACAGTGGGGTCTTCTTCACTTCTTCTACCACTATATCTTATCTTCTCCAATTAAATGCAATTCTGAATGAACATCATCACTTTTTTTCATGGTCCTTCACGTAAGGACGATACTGTATGCTGTTTTCATGGAACTGATATGAACAGTAAAAATTGTCAGGCTTTTGAAATATAGAGAGAGTTCCTTGAATCCAGATGACAATGCAATGAATCTCACACATAGGAAAGCAAAAGTGTGTTTAAATGTTAGAACCTCAAACAAGGTTATTTAACACACGAGTTATGTTTCAATAGTTATTTATCATGATTACTAATGTCCTAAAAGTTCAATGTTTGAATATTTGAAAGTGTTAGACAGATTATTTACAACTTTTTATTTTTTACATCTATATCAGTACATATGTAATGTAATGCTTTTATTACATGGGTATTTAATATTCCACTAAAAGGTAAGATGCTTGTTTTTTATAGAAAGCAAATTGGTTGATTTTGGTCAGAATAATGATAACAAGGTAAGATGCTTAAGTACATATCAACATGCACATGATTGCACCCAAAGCTCCTGGGCCAGTCATAAGGGTTAAATGGAAAAAGGAAACAGCCAGAGAAAGATCATTCGCATGTGCAAAAGCATAGTTTCAAGCCAAAATTTTTTATCTTTCTATTGCATGGCATTTTCAAAAGCATATACCTCACATATATATTTATATACATATGTCTTGCCTAACTAATGTCTATAATCAATTGAGTGCTTACACCAGACCTTGGCTAAAAGCAAAATTACTTTTTGTGTTTCTTTACTTTATCAATTTGTAATTATACATATATTTCATTAACTTCATGTATGCAAAACCACACATCTGGTGACTAGGCTTTTGTGGCAGTTATTGTTGCTCTATCAATGACTTGATATTAATTAATGTAATGCACACATATGGCATGGTTTAGTATTAATATAATGTACATACCTAAGGTTTGTTTCCAAAATTAAGTAATTACGGAGATTAAGGATGAATTGAAGAAAGTTGTACAAAAGTAGCCATGCATTGAAATTGTAGTTGTCAAAGCGAATAAAGCAGTGGAATCTTATGACAAAGGTCTTTGGATTCTTTACAATGAGGTAAATGAGAGAGAGATTTTATTGTTATACTGAAAATGTGGTCCACATCACTAATGCTATGCCTTCATGGCTTCATCACGTATACAAAATGAGAATATTTCAACAAGAAAAAGATATCTCTAATTGAATTTTTTTTTTATGTAAAAGTGATCTGAATTAATTTTTTTTCTGGTGAAATTTTGTTTGTGTAAAAAATGACTTGAATTTGTAGCAATTTAATTAAGAGACTTACTAGTTAACTTAAGTGTACTACAGCTTGTTAATAATATCTGTCACCGTTGATTTTTCTATCAATAGTTTTGGGTTTTGTTTTGAAGTGTGGTGACTCTTCAAAGTGGAGAAGCTAGGAAGATACCATACACTAGGGACCAGAATAACAAGACCGTGATGTGAACCTACTTTGACTTTTGCTTATGGATTTTTATATACATGATGATGTGGCGATAATGTACCTTGCACTGTATAATGCAGACTCTCTCACTCACATTTTGATCACTCCATGTGAAACACTCGCCGTCGGATCCATTCCATGACAATGATCCTGATGGTCCATGTCAAGACGTGAACTTCATCTCATGGTAATCTTTTTGTGTCGGTAACTTGATGATGATATTATTGTCATTTCGTTTTTCTTTAAAAAGGTGAAGGCAACACATTATCTTTTTGGTCTATTGAATTATTTAATTTTTTCTTGCTTCCACATGAATACAGCTAAATAAAGATTTTAATTTGGTGCACTTTGATCCCGTGCGTATGATTTTTCAATTCACTATTTGCACCCTTAAATTAATCCAATAGCCACAATTAGTTTATCGAGGCAGCTCTCATCCAACGAGTGTATGGTGAATGCATCCAAATTTGTCACATTCCATTTACATTGTATCCTTTACAATAATGCATATTTGTTTTGTTCGCATTGTTTAATATTATTTTAGTACTTTGAATGCTCATATTTTCATCTTAGTCTTTGATTTTCTTTTCTTTTAGAAATCATGACAAATCAAAATCTCTTGCTTTAATCATGATTA